TTTCCTCAAATTTCTATGTTTAAAAACTGTTTTTTGCTTGTAATAGTGATGGAATAAAACCTACTCCTCATGTATGACACTTTTTAGGTAATTCCACCATTTATTCCAATTACGTATGTCCATGTGAACATAAATACTGTTCCCAGGGCAGCTGTGGCTATAATGTAGCTCACCACCATCTGGAAATGAATGGGGATGACTGGGTTCTCTGCTTTTTCCCATAGTAGCTTCATCTGGTGTGTTCCTGTTTGGCTGATTTTCAGTGTAGTCCTGTTTCTCTGACTGTGACTGGCTGGATGTGCTCGCTTCATCCTCTGACATGGGAGAGACATGGACGGGGCCGCCTTTTACAGTTGCTTTTTGTATCTCTGCTTCTGTCTCCTTGAACCCCAGTGGGCCTCAGCAGATGGCCGCTCACACCGAACCTGGTTCTGCTGGAGGTTTCTTCCTGTTCAAAGGGAGTTTTTCCTCTCCACTGTCGCTACAAGCATGCTTAGTGTGAGGGATTGCATTCAAGTCAATGAGTCAATGCAATCAACTGGTTTTCCTTAGATAGAAAACTTTGAATCAATTTGGTGATCTGGTGAACTGTGCCTAGAGATGACATGCGTTGTGAATTGGTGCTATAGAAATAAACTGAATTGAATTAAATAAAAAATCGAAGCTAATTGAACTCCTTTACCCAAGTAAAACTTTCAGGTTCTTAAATGTACTAAAGAAAAAAATATTATTTCTACCTTCAGTGATCCACATTAACTCTGGTTATCATTTAATTTAAATAGGATATATTGTTCTCTTTTACTCAAACCCTAAAACGTGTTTATTTCCAATTTGTATGAGAAGCCTCTGACCAGCAGAAGCTTGTATTTTTCAGACTGAAGCAAAACACGTCAAACCGACTATGAATCAATCTTGAAGGCGACAACATTTAAATGCTTTAAATCCGGCCCTAAATAGGGAATGGTTTGGCTTTTCCAGTCTGTCATCATCACCATGATTTCACTGTAGAGCTATTAATCCTTCTCTCTGTGTCACCAGCTGTTGTCACTACACGCCTTCTCTCCTCTCAAGTGATGCATTTTTTCACATTGTTCATTTTTACATTATGTCATTATCAGCACGTGTGAAATAAATAAGGCAGTTTATGACTTGGATAATAGCACGTTGCGACAAACACCAGATACAGCACTGGGACTTGATCAACAGCCGATACCGCACCGTGACGTCACAAACCAGTAGGTGGCAGTAGTGTTCTTTGACAAACATGGATGCCTCCAGTAAAGCACATTCAAATGAAAATTACTTTTAATTAAAAACACTGATCATTTATTGAACAGTATGTAATAATGTCATACTTAAAGTACTTTCAGAAGTTTGAATTCTGAATATGACCAGACCTTTATTTAAAGTAAGGATGCAATGCAAAAAAGGAGTATTTTTCCACTTCGTTACTTTCCGCCTCTGTTGAATTGTAAAATAACAGCATTGGTGTATTGATTTATTGGTTTCATTTTTTTTTTTTTTTTACTTTATATTTTTTTCCTTTTTTTCCCCAAATAGTTTAGGTCAGAGGTCACGGATTCGCGGACCAGGGTCCAGATCCGGATCCACCTGCTGGCTAATCCAGACCCAACCTGATTTAAAACATTTATAAATGACTGCATGTTGTCTGTCGACAGTGTCTAACTTCACTTAAGCCGCTTCTCCTGTTAATATGGTAAAGTCCTCCAGAGCGTCCGGCACCAGGCTGAAACTAATTATTAAATGAGCTGCTGTCAGTCTGGGTTGCTGCTGCTGCTACTTTTAGACACAGCAGGCAAACCTGTGGCAAGCCGGGCGATGGGAAAGAAGGAGAAGACGATGAGAAAAAGAGAGCAGAGAAAGTGTGGACTGCTGGAAGAACTGCGGTGAACTGGTGAAAGAAAAGTGAAATGGTGCTCAAAGATGACCCTGCACATTTAGAGGATGTTTGGCTCAACCTGCTGCTGTGAAGCAGGATTCTCCACCATGAACATAATCAACAATAAATCTGGATCCAGGCTCAAAATGATATCTGCTTGAGAATGGCTTAGTCTCCATTCAAACTCAGGTTTAAAGCCTTGCAGGGCAGCCTAAAGCTCACTGCTCTCATTAAGCCAAGTTTAGGTGTTTTATTTAAAAAAAAAAAAGTTTGTCAGGAAATTGTCTGTATTCCAATCTGAAAGATTTTTGTTCTCTAATTCAAAAACAATTTAGATTTTAAAATGGAAAAACTTTCTTATATATATATATATATATATATATATATATATATATATATATATATATATATATATATATATATATATATATATATATATATATATATATATATATATATATTCTTTATTTTAAAATTCAATGTATAACATGGATGCATAAATATCTGTTTTTATTTCAGTGTTAAATTCTGTTTATAGAATAGATTATCATTAAAAATGTCTCCGGACCTTTACTGGTTGTTGATTTTCTTTATTCAGACCCCATTGATTTATGTGTTACCACTGGTTTAGGTGAATCTCTCTTAAGCAAATTTAAAGGTTTTGAAGTATTTTGTTGCAAATATGCTGTCTGCTGTTCATTATTCTCTCCTTTCTCTGTTGTTCTGCAGTACCAAGTTCACAGTGCAGGTAGAAGCATAGCTAACAGATGAGGAAGTGTTTCCTTATGATCAGGTATTGACTTGGTCATTCTGGTTGTAATAACTGCAAATAAATTTCCTCTGGACAAATAAATAGTTATTCTCAGTCAGACCGGATCTGCTGTTGCTCAGCATTTGTTCAAATATGAAATAAAAACAGGCCGAGGTTCTTAGAGCTGTGACACATGGCCCAGTCCGCTCTGCATAACAGAGCCATCACTCATAAGAGTTTAATCCCAGAGGAAAATCAAATGTAACCAGCAGAACCCGTCCTCCTGTGGGGCGTTTTGTTTGGGTCACTGTTTTAAATGCTCCCCACATTTTTCTGCACCCCATCACTTTTTCTGACTTTTCTCTCATTTCATCGGCCTTTTGAACTTTAGGTGTGGAAGTTTCAAACAGTCCTGAGATGTTGGGCTGAGAGCGATTTTGACAAAACTCTCGTAAAGACTCCATGTCTATGATCAGAGCAGAGGAACCCTCCTCAGAGAGGTAGAACATCCTCTCAGAAGAACAGAGGTCCGTCTGCTTAAAGCTCAGGAGAATCTACAGCACATATCATTTAAATCTGATGCATTTGTTTCCACTACCTTATTGTTGTCAAACAAAGCAGATCATCATCTGATGCACTGGAGCAAAGAGCAAAGTAAAGCACAAACATTCAGTGATGTCAGGAAACACCTTCAATTTTCTAAAAGTGAAATTAGAATCTAAAGCAACAACAAAGCAAAGCAACAATATTTTTCTCAGTGTTTCCCCAATAACTCATCCCTTCTCTGCAGAGTTCCCATTCAGCCCCATTCTTACAACACGTTTTGTTTTCTCACCGTTCTCCTGGATGAAAGTTTGATGCTCGGTCCTGTGTCGCCTTCGCTGCCTGCTCCACTCTACGCTACGTGCAGAATAAATGCAGGATTCATCATTTGTCTCCACCCAGCTGCTACAAGGAAGTTTTCCATCCACATTCCCCAGATATGAACCAGAGAGACACACCACAGGTGGAATTCACCTGTTCTACGTCACTGAGCGCCATCACCAGCTGACAGGAGGATCAGGTTCACTTCAATTCAAACTGCAGCTCCACATCTTTCATTTAGAGAAACTCTGAGGCAGTTCTGACTACAGAGTCACTAGTTTATTGTTCATTACTGAACCTATGGTTACAGTGAGATTAGGTTGCTGGGAAATCTCAGAGCACTCCAGGAGACCTTTGAACCCACAATAAAGGGATTGTCTCTGAAGAGGAAGCAGGAGAGAAAATCAGACTTCCCAGAAGTGAGGCTTACACTTCACCCAGCAAACAGATGAACAGACATAGAGGAGTGAGACGTTTCCTGGACCGTCTCTGCTGGGTCAACCTGTTGCACTGGTAGGGCTGTATGGTTCAGACATGTCACCATTAATGAAGAGGCTCCGCCCACCTCAAAGGATTCCTTAGAAACACAGCACAGCTGGTGTTCCATTCCCTGAGTGAGAATGGGGCTGGCAAAGCAAATCGCTAGAAATTTTCCTTAAAAGAACAGAAATGTCAGGATTATTTTCTATTTAACAAGATGAATCACATTTCAACTGGAGCTGGAAAAAATGCATAACATTTCTTACAATTATGGTAAAGGACACTATAAGGACTGGGCCCAATTTTTATAAGCAAGGCCAGAGATGTTAAAAACAATTCCGATTTGACCCGACCCTGGGTTTATCCATCTATTTTGAGTTTATCCATATAAATAAAGGACAAACAACCATTCATGCATACACACACAAAACTAAAGAGAATTTAGAGAAGCCAATTAACCTAACAGTCATGTTTTTAGACTGTGGGAGGAAGCCGGTACCCAGAGAGAACCCACACATGCACATGGAGAACATGCATATACATGCATACATATATATATATATATATATATATATATATATATATATATATATATATATATATATATATATATATATATATATATATATATATATATATATATATATATATATATAAACATATATATATATATGTGCGTGTGTTTGAGTGATTCAATAAAGTTTCAAAGGAAAAAGTACAAAAATAAAAAGGTATGGTGCAGTAAATGTAATCCTAAAAGGGCATGTGTTGTTGTGCATCTTTAGAAAACATAAATATATTCTTCAATACGGGAAACAACTACTTCTACTGCATTTTCTTCCGAAACGACTTCATACTTCCGTTCATGTCCAGCAGATGTCCTCCTTCTCTATTGTTCTTCTAAAACTCCATCAAACAACTTTAGTTCTGAGTACAAATCTTCCGAGCTTCACCTGAACACACCGGAGAGTGACTGAAATCACGTGACAGCAGTCAGGTGACAGGAGTCATATGATAGGAGTGTTTTGCGCAGGCGCTTGTCCAAGTAAAAGTCAAACCGAGCGCGGTGTAAGTGTTGGTGTGTTTAGGCTGAAACATGAGAGCCGGACTAAGTCTTTTCACGCTGACAGTCGCCCTGTTTTCTGACGCTCTTCATGGCTTGCCACGCGGCGACTTTCAGGTAATGTTTCACATCACTCTGTGTGGTGTTTAATCATTGCTGGGAAATCACAGCTCCTCAGGGGGGGTTTGGTGTTTGAGCCAGTATTGGGTCTGTTTTGCTTTGGAGCCTTCAGCTAAAAAGCCTTTTATGTGATTTTTGAATGTTTGACATGATCCATGATTAGAGTTATTTAAAATGTTACCTGCCTCCTGTTGTCAAAGGTCAATGAACATCCAATCACTCATTTATTTGGGGTTAAACAGACCATCATCATGCAGCATTTTCTCATAGACACCTGGTGCATCTTTCTCATCCTCACAGGCTAGAAAGCCCCCAGCTTTATCAGACCCCCCGTTCACTGAGAAGTACTTCACTCAGACCTTGGATCACTTCAACTTTAACAGCATGGGCAACGGGACGTTCAGCCAGCGATACCTGATCACGGGTACAGGCAGCTTCCTGCTGTAATGGAATAAATCCAACAGTAAATGATTGACGTGGTTCTGCTCTTCTCTCCTCTAGACCAGTACTGGAAGAAAGGCTATGGCCCCATCTTCTTCTACACTGGAAATGAGGGCGACATCTGGGAGTTCGCCCTGAACTCTGGGTTCATCATGGAGCTGGCCGCTCAGCAGCAGGCGCTGGTCATTTTTGCTGAACATGTAAGGAAACCCGTCCCAGTCGGACGCACTGGTCAGATAATCTTCAGGCACTACAAGGAAAACGGCTTGGTTCACACAGGTTAACTAAAACACCCTCATGGTGAGAGGGTGGAAGGTCAGCAGGTCTCTATAATGAATGTCGGATGGTGTCTCCGTCTAAAGCTGTGTTTTTTTTCTGCCTTAGTCTTATTAATATAAACAACTCAGCAAACTCAGCGGGACTTGAATTCAATTCAATTCAGTTTATTTCTATAGCAACAATTCACAACACATGTCACTTTATAGATACAATTCAATCAGATCATACAATCAACTTGATTCAAAGTTTTCTATCTAAGGAAAACCAGTGAGTGCATCAACTCATTGACTCAAATACAATCCCTCACACTAAGCATGCTTGTTGCGACAGTGGAGAGGAAAACCTCCCTTTTAACAGGAAGAAACCTCCAGCAGAATCAGGCTCAGTGTGAGCGGCCTTAAAGGAATAGTACACCCAAAACATGATTAGCCTTCATTTTCTACTCACCCCCATGCTGAACAACACTCTGGAGTACTTTTTTGATATCTCAAATGCATCTGGAGATCTGGGAGGCTTCTTGCTGTCTGCTGATATTCAAATAATGGAGGTCTATGGTGCCCGAGACAGAAAGGTCCATAAAAGTCCACAAAAAACGTGTCAATATTCCTCCATACTGCTCGTCCAATGTATTCCAAGTGTCCTGAGTGGGTAGCGTCCAGAATTTACTCGAAACTAAGTCATTTAGAATGTTTTTAGAGCATAAACAGTAGTGTATAGGATTTCCTAAAAGCGCGTTCACGAGTCTACGGAAACCGCGGCAGACCAAACCAGATGAAAGTGCGCATAATGTTGTGAATTGGCGTTATATATGTTTTTTATATTATTTCGGTAAAATGAAATATGTAAAATTCCACATCTGCAGTAAAAGTGCCCAAATATTTTTCCAGAAATGTCCTTCAATCTGTAGCTGATGGAATATGGTTTAACTAAGTCTCTGCTCTTCTTTTTCAGAGGTACTATGGCAAATCTCTGCCATTTGGCAACGACTCCTTCAAGATCCCTCAGGTGAGCCTCCTCACCGTGGAGCAGGCCCTCGCTGACTATGCCCTGATGATCACCGAGCTGAAACAGCAGCTGGAGGCCTCAGACTGTCCTGTGATTGTGTTTGGTGGCAGGTAAGACCTGCAGTGGGGGTGCAAAGTGAAACCCTTATGGGCCCTCAGTGTCTGCTTGATTTAACTTAATGGCTAAATAAGCCGCTGTTCTGTCAGATTAGCATACTTACAGTCAATACCCGCTTATCCCTTTAGTTTTGTATGAAACATGGACTTTTAACTACCTCAACGGGCGTGTATTCCATTAGTCATGTGCAAAAAAATAATTTAATTACTTACCTTTTGGTGTTCTGTGAAGCATATGGCGATCTGACCTTAAATATATATATATTTGTACATGACTAAAGGGCTACACGCCCGTTGAAGTAGTTTAAAGTCTATTTTTTGTACAAAACTAAAGGGATAAACGCAAATCTGACATCTTGCGCATGCGTATTGATTATAGGTATGCTGGTCTGATGGGGTATGCTCATCTGACAGAACGGCGGTTTTCCAGGGGTCTCATTTATAAAGCCTGTGTAGACGAAGGTTAGAAAACATCTAAATATAATAACAATGTCACAAAATCGCAACATATTACATGTTAAAGAAAGGTGAGCTGCTTTTCATGATTTCAACTTTTTTTTTTATTAAATGCAGCTTTTATCCAGTCTGGGGGTTTTGAGAAACAGTTTACCAGTGATAATTCAGCATAATCAAGAATTAACTATCTGCCTGAAGCTGCTATTAGGAACAAATGGATTCTATGAAATGATCCATGAAGCTAAGCTATCACAGTGATGAGCGCAATGCTGTCCTTGTTAACATGATCAGTTCACTTATGAAACTCAATTATAATACTTGCTTTTATTTCTGGTGGCTTCCAAGCATCTTTATCTGACTCTCTGCCTCATTCTTTCTGCCTCTGCTGAACGTTTTGCTCTGTTCTCTGCTGCTGCCATGGTAGAGATGCAGGAACATTTCTCACACTGCTTTTTTAAAAACACACTGACATTGATGCAGCGCTTTGCATGGACCATTTTTGGTCGGATGTGGGCATGTGGGGGGGGCAGGACATGTGGTGCAGCCTTGGATGCACGCTCTGAACTACAGCTGTGCTGTGATCTTTAGCTAACCTGACTCCGCCAGATGGATTTGCTGGATTTGCTCCGCATATCCATCTGGAAACCTTCCGTTGAAGTAATTTTGGGAAGGGGAGAAAATACTGGTTAGCTGATTGGCCTATGTTGGTGATAGACGGGCCAAATAAACCAATCAGATCAACGAAGCATATGACGTACTAACAGACTGACGACGAAAACACAACCACAAGCCAGGCTACTCTTGCTGAAACCAGTCGGGAGAAGAGCAAAAACATCTTTTCCTCTGAGAAAAGCCTCCAGAGCAGTGTTTTGCTCTTCTTTCAGTGAAGAAATACTCTGTAATTCTGATAAAACTTGCTCGATAGCCACGCTAACGCTAGTTTCATCGGCTGAAGCCGCCATGTTCTTTAGACTGAACTGTCGCGCTTCTCGTTGCGTCACACCTCAGCCCCCCTCAAAGCCAACGCTGATTGGACGTTCGTTTGGTGAACGGCTCCAAATTTTCTTAAACGGAAAGTAGCCAGACTGATCTGCGAGTGAAACCTTGAAAGCTCGCGAGATCAGGATGGTCTCACGAGGCTATCTATTGTTCATGTTTTGAGTGATTTATTAATAAACGTTCCTTTGCTACAACATTTGCTATCATCGTGTCATTTTTGAGGGAATCTTCCTCTGGTTCTCTTATAAAGACTTATGGCAAAGTCTTGACTTGGAGGGCAAATGTAAATTTCTACCACACCTTAGAGACCAAAAGTGCAAGAAGTTCAGGGAAGTAAATTCTTTACTAGGCACCAGAGTCTGTCAGAGTTGCTCATCTTCTCATCTGTACCTGTAGCTATGGAGGGATGCTGTCCGTCTACATGAGGCTGAAGTATCCCAATGTTGTGGCTGGCGCTCTGGCAGCCAGTGCCCCCATCCTGTCCACCGCTGGTCTGGGAGACTCCAGGCAGTTCTTCAGAGACGTTACAGCTGTAAGTCACTTCTTCATCACATGCTAACAACCTTTGCTCTATGAAGGAGGTGTTAAAACTGTACAGCAGCTTTACTGATGTCTCTACTGACAGAATCAGTTCAGTCTGTCCTTCAACAGTCCAGCCTGATGTGAAAAATGCATGAATTAGATTCCCAGCATCAATCCAGAACCAGATATTTCTAATCTTGTCAATAATCTTATAATATGGGATTTAAATGACAGGTTCTGATCAAAAATGACACCAGTTTTTTAAACGTTATGATCTGAGGCCAGCTGTCCAGCTGGAGATAGGCACCAGCACCCCTTGTCAGGCTGGATGGTCTGGGGCCAATTTAACGGCATCCTAATAAATTTACAGATCAGTATTATCAGGATTTATCCACAGATAAAGCTGAGTATCATCAGCATAACAACTGAGATCACATGCCATCTGACATCAGGACGTTAGAAGTGTGTTTGTCTTAATGGATGAATGTGATATTTTATATTGATACATTAGGCTGGATGATGGATCCAGAATATTAGGTTTTTAACTAGCTTTTTTTTATTAACTGTATTATTTTTTATGAATACAGTTAATATATTAATTATTAATAAAGTAAATATATTACTTTCTCTTGAAAAAGAGTGAGGACCTTTAGCTCAGAAATGTTGATCTGTTGTCCCTCACAGGACTTTGAGAAGGTCAGCCCTGATTGTCGAGATGCTGTGAGAGGAGCTTTCCAGCAGCTGAAGCAGCTAGCTGAACGCAAAGGTAAAGCTCCGACATGGAAAAAGAAGAAAAAAGCACAATTAGGAGGTAAAAGAGGCTTTTATTTGGAATAAAGAAGTGTTCTTCTATTCACCAGATTACAATCACATCCAGTCAGAGTTTTCTCTCTGTAAGCCTCCGTCTTCTCCTGGAGACATCCATCAGCTCTATGGGCTGCTGAGGAACGCCTTCACCATGATGGCCATGCTGGATTATCCTTACAGCACTCACTTCATGGGAAACATGCCTGCCAACCCCGTCAAGGTAAAGAACACATGGAAAACCTGCACCTGAGGGAAGTTGCCCCCCCCCCCCGCCTTCTTCAAAGCAGACAGAATTAGTGTCAAACGTTTGTGCCGCTATCGTTTAAAGATATAAGGGAATATTTCTAGAGGTCATCAAAGGTCAACCAGCCCCCCCACCTTCTTCAAATCAGACGAAATGGGTGTCAATTAACTTTGGCTGCTTTGGCTTTGAAGATATTAATGAAAATGTAAAGGTCAAAAGGTCAACCAGCCCCCCCACCTTCTTCAAATTAGAATAAGGTGAACATTTTTGCTGCACAAACGTTTGACACTAATTTTGTCTGATTTGAAGAAGGTGGGGGGGCCAACTTCACACAGTTAGAACACGCTGCTCCGAGGAACAGATCTTCATGAAGGTGATGGTGTTCTGTCAGATGAGCATACCCCATCAGACCAGCATACCCATAGTCAATATGCATTACGCAAGACGTCAGATTTGCATTTATCTCTTTAGTTTTGTACAAAATATAGACTTTAAACTACCTCAATGGGCGTGTATCCCTTTATTCATGTATTAAAAAAATCATTTAAACTCAGATCAGTGGCAGTGGGTATGCTGGTCTGACCGGGAATGCTCATCTGACAACACCGGCTGTCGGGTTTAGAGGCTTTTTTCTAAACTAATCATTAAGTTGGAGGAAGCCGACCCAGGTCCAAGTGTTCCCTCTCATCTGAAGCTGCTGTGATTTTTCTTGCAGGTGGCCTGTGGAACCATGCTGAGGGGATCAGACCTGCTGGCTAACCTCAGAGATACTGCAGGTCTGGTTACACTAATAAGCTCTGAAGGCCAAAACACACCCAATCCAATGCTTCATCAGATCTGAGAGAAAATCATGTCGGACGAGGTTGTGGCGTTTGGTGCTCATTGGAATTCGATGGGGATGATCCCAACTGATATGATTTTATGCAAGGGGGCTGAGTAGGTTTGACTGAACTAGAGCCCAGGTCTATTTTAGCCGGACTAAACTGCAATTCAGCGGCAATTTCATAGGTCTGACAGGAAGAGGGACATGGTTACAAGGTAAAACACATCCGCTATGGGGGAAAATACTAAATAATATCTGTTAATCGCTTGGGAATAGAGTCAGTTTTGAAGTCGCACATTGAGTATAAAGCAAGTGGGACAGACTGGTGCAAAACCTATGAACGAAACATTAAAAATAGAAAACTTTACCCATGATAAGACTTTAGGAGGAAAGAAAACTGATAAAGTAGGGATCCTCTTTGAGCCTCACAAAAGCAACATGGGACAGAAGGTGCAAACATGTTCTGATGGGTCAAAGGACGAATCGTCTGGTCTACCTTTACTATAAAAACCACACAGCATTGTGGTAATCGTCTGGAAACATGTGGCTGTAATTGATGTGTGTAGACACTAGAGGGTAGCAGCCAGTCTTCTGTTCAGAATCAAGGCCCTAAAGCCTCATTGGCTTTAAAGGAAAAGTCAGTTCAGCAATAAATAATCAATGGATCATTACCTATACCTAAAACCAATACGTTCGTGGTGATTTAATGAATTTAGCATTAATCAGTAAAAAAATAAAAACAATAATTTTCATTGTGAGTCTGGGAGCGGCCATTTTTGTCCAAATATAGAAACACCTCCCTCCTAACGTCTTCCTGCAGTGATTTCATGCTGCGTTAAGCCTAGCGCCAATATCCTAGCTGATGTGAACTACTAGACAACGATTATTAAAGATTTCCAGAGAAGTTCACCATTGAAATTCACCACAGCTATAGTGAAACTGACAATGCCCACGTGCATGGCAGTTGGATGTTGAAGCACATCGGGTAAAAGTAGAAAAAAAATGTATTTCACCTTTCTGATTCCTGATCCTCCACGGACGGGTTGGTCGTTGGATCGCCAACTTGAAGAGGGAGGATTTGCCATCGAACTTCTGGCCAGAGAAAAAACCCGTAATATGTAGCCAACATTTGGAAAAGAATGTTTTCAAGATGACTTGGATAATAGCGCGTTGTGACAAACACCAGATACAGCACTAGGACTTGATCAACAGCCGATACCGCACCGTGACGTCACAAACCAAAGAACATTCACATGAAAATTACTCTAAATGGAAAAACCCTTATCACTTATTGAACAGTATGGAATAATTTAAAGTACTTTCAGAAGTTTGAATTCTGAATATAACTGGACTTTTCCTTTAAGTGGTTCAGTCATCCATCACCCCAGAATGAGTGCTTCACTTCCTGGCCTCTGCTGAGAGAAAATCAACCTAGATTCTGGATTGTTGGTGCAAGTCTTGAGGCCTGGACTTGGCTCCTCTAATGAATGCCTGGAAACCGAGCCTGACCTCACGTTCATTAACAGTAACAGCTTCCACCCTGCAGGGATCCTCTACAACTCAACCGGGGACCTGACCTGTTTCGACCTGTACAGTCTGTATGTGGAGTGTGCCGACCCCACTGGATGTGGACTGGGCTTCAACAGCATGGCCTGGGACTACCAGGTACAGCAGGAGGGAGATATGTGCTCTGCTTCTGTCCTGAGTCAGCATATTTGATTGGTGGCGCTTTCTACTTTGACCCCTGCAGGCCTGCACTGAAGTGGAGCTGTGCTACGAGAGCAACAACGTGACGGACATGTTTCCTCCGATGACCTTCACTCAGAAAGACCGGGAGCTCTACTGCTCCAAGCGCTGGCCCGTAGTTCCAAGACCCGGCTGGCTCAAAGTCCAATTCTGGGGTGACGGTAAGATTCAGACCCTGGAAGGTCGGCAATCAAATATTGCTCCTCTGGTCTTGGTTCTGGTAGCGTAGGATACACGTAAACCACCAGGAGAGGAAATCCTCTAAAGTTGCTCAGAAAAGGAGCCATGAGGCTGAATTTCCATCTTCATATTAAACTGGTTTAATACCTGCTGGGCTTTCATGAACTCGTATGTTCAGCTCTCTCCACAGCGAGCAACATCATCTTCTCCAATGGGGACCTGGACCCGTGGGCCAACGGGGGGGTGAGTGTGACTCAGACAGGAAACACTGAGTGGTCAGGATAGAGTTAACCTGCTGATCAATGTTTAGGTGAGGAAGAGCCTGAGTCCGTCGCTGGTGGCGCTGAACATTTCCGGAGGGGCTCATCACCTGGACCTGAGGTACTTAAGCCGTCCCTTATTTCTGGCTGGGTTCTATCTGAACGGATCCTGAAGTCAGACGGTTGTTTCTCTGCTGCAGGGGATCCAATGAGGCGGATCCAGCATCAGTCATCAGCGCCAGGAAGACGGAAGCAGAGCTCATTGCTCAGTGGGTGAAGACTGAGAGGACCAGATTACGCAGCAGAAGGGTTTCATCTGACATGTCCCAACAGTTTATCGCATTGAAAGAAAATCACGTTTAAAGCATCCCGCTGTATATAATCTATCACTTTAATGAGGAGTTTTAGCTCCTTCAGTCCACGGATCATCGCAGCATCGACCCTCTGCAGCATCAAGAAGCATCAGAGCACCTTTATTAGAACTCTGTGGAGATCATCCACTAAAATGTTTGTTAAAAATACAGAATTTCTGCTGATTAAAAAGGCTGAGAAAGAAACCAGACATTTGATTTTAATTCAAATAAATCGTTTTCCATCCACTGCTGCTATGTTTCCACAACTAGGGCTGCAACTAACGATTATTAAGCAAATCGTTTATTTTTTTCTGCTCAGTGGAGCAGTGTGTAGCACCGCCTCCTAGCAGCAAGAAGGTTCCAGGTTTGATTCCCAGCCCACGGTCTTTCTGCATGGAGTTTGCATGTTTCCCTGTGCATGCGTAGGTTCTCTCCAGGTACTCCGTCTTCCTTCCACAGTCCAAAAACATGAATTTCAGGTTAATTGGTTTCTGTAAATCAGGGGTCACCAACGCGGTGCCCGCGGGCACCAAGAGGCCCTCAAGGACCACATGGGGTGCCCTCTTCGTCTTCTGAAAACAGAAGAACTCACTCGGTGGGTTAAGTTTAATTTTTTTTTTTATTCTGTTGCTCTTCTTTTTAATCATTTATGTATTATTTCATCATTTTAACTATTTCATCATATTTCAGTGGTTTCAAAATGACAATATGAAAAAGAAATGAATAAAAGATTAAAATACGAATAAAAATGAGTTTTTATGGATGAGATTTACTGTAGGTGAACACTGATCCCTCCAGTTCATAGGTCAGTACTGGTAGCCCTTCCTATGACTGGTAGCCATGAAGTAGCCCTCAGCCTTAAAAAGGTTGGTGACCCCTGCTCTAAATTATCCGTGTGAGTGTGCCTGAATGGTTCCTTGTATGTTGCCCTGCGATGGACTGGTGACCTGTCCAGGGTGGACCCCGCCTCTCGCCCGTAGACAGCAGGAGATGGGGCCCCTGCCCCCTTTAAGACATCAACTTGGATTAAGTATGACAGAAAAATTTGGATAGCTGATTTTTATTAAAAATCTTTTTTTTAAAAATTTTTAATAAAATTTTTTTTATTAAAAATTTTATTAAAAATCAGCTGATTTGCTGATTATTTGCTGATTTTTATTAAAAATCAGCTATCCAAAGGTTCCTTAAAGAAGATTCTTTTATTAAAACCAGTTAAACTAAAACATTTCCAGCTGAGTTCTGAGTAGAGCATATGGACAGCGGCCAGTCTTTGTGCTTTTTTACAATGTTGGTATAATTACTGCACTAAGTGGGTCGCTCTGTCAGCTAAAGGCACGTTTGACACTCTTTTACTCAATTTTTTTGGTTAATAGATTACTAAATTAGTTGGCAATTATTTCAATAATCGTTTCATCTGATTATTTGTTTCAGCTCAATCCACAACCAAAGACAAACACTGGGCTGATAGGCGGCCGGCCGGCCTTCCCTCCCAGGACTGGGTGGGTTTGGGTGACAGGAAGCCCAAACCTTCAGAAAGGACATGAAATAAAACACAGCTGAATAAGATCAATATTTTATTATAGTAAAGATGATCCAGCATGTATGATACAAAAACATTTTATAGTTAAATATTCAAAGGACAGACAACCTGAACAAACCGTCAACTCCAATAATTTAACTAATAGTTTCAGTCTCTTTAAATCCTTCACATCCAGAAGAACCTTTAGGTTCTGCATCAGAACCAAGAACATTTCTGGTCCTTAACTGGGTCACTTCCTGTTCTCTGACCAGCTGACGTCCTACATTTAAAGGCTTTAGCTACTCTTAGCTGTTTTCTCAGCGTCTTGCTTAAGGGCACATTGACAGCAGGGATCGACATTGTAAGGTGGACTGGGTCGGCACCCTGCCAAGCCTTACTGTGCTGTGGTGTCAGGCTGTTGGTTCATTTTTCTTATTTAACTACCTGTTAAAAAGGTGGAAAAAGGACATTTTGGCACAATATGGCTGGAATTTGGACTCTGCCTGAGATCTGCTGGATCTCAGCCCGTATTCCTACAGCAGAACCACTGCTTGACCTGGTTCCGTTTCCATCGCTCAGAGATCCGCCTCACACTAAAGTAGAAAAACCTTTATCTGCTGAAATTTGTATCAAAAATGCTAAAATAGATTTTTCCCAAGTGGCACCGTTAGAAGAATGGCTTTCATTGTTTCAATCTCAGTCAAATGATAAAAAATAAAAAAAACATTGAGACACGAAGATTTCAGACTTCTGCTGAAATGATGGGAGCTGCTTTATGCAGGATTAGCATCACGTAAACCTGAAAACGAGGAAACCGCTTACATCACTAATCTAATGGAAACGATCTATCAGACGCACGCTGAATGTCGTCTGAGGAAAGATTAAAGGCACATGTGAGAACGGAAACACCTGGAGGACAGACGAAGTTTGGTCTGAGGAGCAAACAGACAAGCATGTTACATCCACGAAGTTCACTACTAAACTTAATCACAAACTCTAAATATTTACACAAAAAAAATCACCTCAAAGATCCCATGTTTTCTTATATTAATAACGAGACAAAATATACAAAACATCCCAACTTAATCGCAGTTTGTTAGCTTTGCTGTGGCAGCCTGTTAGCTGGAAGATTAGCATGTGAACGAGACAGATGCTGCATTCATGTCAATGGAAAAAAAACAGAAGGTCAGGCGGTCCAACTTGAATCAGAACTACTCCGTATCGTGCAGAAAGTTTCATTATAAGCAGAGAACCAGCCGTTCGGGATGAGGCAGAGCTACCAGGAGGAGTTTCCTCCAACCTGATAGCGGTCATCTATGCCGTCCATCAGCAGAACTTTGCTGATTACATCAGTGGTTTGATCAGAGGTCATGACCTCGGACATTACGTCAGTCAACTGGAGTGTAAATGGATCAGAACCAACAGAAATGCTGCCGGATAAAGACTACCATGGAAATGTGGCATGGATGTAAAGCAGAGTAGTTTAAATGCATTATGCATGAAGATGAAAGTAGATAGAAGCTGACCTGATATCAGGAAATGATTGTTGTTTATATGTGTTCTCTAAACTGAGGGCTCAAACATAGGAAGGAGTTCTGCATTTCCTGGGAGACATGAATGCAGCATGACTGTGTGCCCTTTTGCTCACAGAGAGCTTCTGAGAACTGGTTCAGTTTGCCTGGCGGTTCCCCTGTTCCAACAGAAGGGTTCAAAGGTCAGGTTCTGCCTTCTAGGAATGTGGAGACAACCGGCCAGCAGAAGTTCAGTCGGCTTTGCTTCATATCTATAGAGAAAAAGTCTTAAAACCATCATAGAAACAAAAACAATCAGTGAGTCAGATGTAGGATGTTGCAGCTGCAGCAACCATCTTGTTGCTTCAGTTCATCCTGCATCAGTGAGAACATCGGTCCACACAATCAGAACCAACCACTCCAATAAATAAGAAAGGATCCGCCATAAATGAGTCTTTTAAAACCAACAAAGGAGTCTGTTCTGTAGTCATTTTGCTCCCAAAGACGTGACTCTGATGTCACACCAACCCTGAGATGTTGTGGGTCACAGTGGATGCTACTCAGAGGATGGCCATATGGGCAGCGGGTGAGCCTCGGTGTTGAACACGTATTTGTCGAGGCTGATAAGGTCGGGGTCTTCAGAGAACAGCAGGTACAAATATTTCAGGGTCTCTCCCAGGAAGAAGCTCTCCATCTTGTCTCTAGGGCTTGGATAATCCGGGTCACGTACATTGTTGATGGACGTGTAGCCTCCAGAAGAAACCTGAAACCGGGATAAACGCATTCACATCACTGAGGAGAGAGGGGTTTGGTGTGTTGTGCATGAACGCGTTCAAACGGTCAAAAACGGCGTTCGATGAATCCATTCATACTTTTAGTGAACGGTGAACTGATCAGGTTTGTGGTAATGAACGTGAGCGAGAGCAGCATGTCTGCTGCTAGAACCAGTCTGCTCCATTCAGACTTATCTGCTGCTATTTCTGATTCCAATTCTGCAGAGCACTTGGCAAAGTTTGATCAACTAACAAAAATTGGGACAGAAAAAAAAACAACAACACGTGTTTGTGCAAACTGTTTCCACCGGGAATTAATAGACAAGTCAGTACATTAGCCACGTCCACTTCAAATTTAAAGCGACGCATGGAGTTAAAACATCCAAGCTATTTTGGGAAATATCTGCTACTGAATGAGGAATATTAGAAATCATTTGGATCCAGATCTTTTAAGCAGAACCTGCACTGCAAAAATGATCTCAAAATGAGTAAAAATGTCTCAAATTAGGGGTATTTACCCTGAATTTGAGCAGGTAAATAAGATGATTTGCCAATGAAATTAGTATTTTTACTCTTAAAATAAGGTATCCAAAAAAAAAAAGCACTTGAAATAAGACAATGCAATTGTTTTTTCTTATTTTAAGTGTAAATTGTCTTGATCCATTGGCATAGTGTGTCTCACTTAAATCCTTAATTCAAGAAAAAATGCACTTATTTTAAGAAGAAATTTAGATACTTTAGAAACTTATTTAGATTTCATTTTCTGCAGTGTGAATGTTACTGGATGTTTCTAAAATTCTTTGTAATCTGTCTAAATAAAGGCTTCACTGCACATCCAGTATACCTTGAATGCATCCAGAATTTTCCTTTTTTTTCTATATATCATGATCACAGATTTAAAGGGGGAAATATGAAGTTCTATTGTGGAGGATTGTAGCTTAATTTACCAAATTAACTTGAACTACCGTAAATTCCGGACTATAAGCCGCTACTTTTTTCCCGCTGTTTGAACACTGCGGCCTATAATACAGTGCACTAACACGTTTTATTTCATGGCGCGAAAAACAGACCAATAAAATTGATGAGTATTCACCAGGGTTTCTACAGCATGAGGCAAGTTAAATTCAAGACTTTTTAATGCCACTTGAAATAAAAATTTAAGACCAAATTCTCCAGAAACACAAGAAAAACCAGCTTGCAACAACTTAACCCAAAGGTTAATTTTAACATAAACCACTGCACTAATGTTTCAAATTTTGAAAAGCTTCCCATACAGGAAGAAAGCTAAAAACACACAAATGACAGATATATTTGAACAATTATTTAACTGAATTCACAAACTTTGTTTTAGCAGGGAACAAAACAAATCAGTTTTAAAGCCACAACATAACCAGTGCTAAG